TATATATATATGTGTATGTATGTGTGTGTGGGGGGAACCCAAGAAGCATTGACAAACCTTATAACCTTGATCGAACTGTGCATTAACCCATGGAAGGCCGATCCAGCCCGAAAGAGCCTACAAAGCCCCGAAGCAGGTTTCCAATGACTGCGGCGCTGAGGGAGCCGCGTCTCATCGCGGGCTTCCTGAAGCGGTTTCTGCAGGAAAGAACCTGGGAGGTGACTTGGGTCTACCAGTGGCGCCCCAAATTGCTATTTGTTAAAAGAGTGATATATAGAAACCAGAATAAGGAACCTACGCCGGTTGGTTCTTGGCCACCGATAGGGTTTTTAGGGCCCAGGTTTGTTTCAAAGGTCCGTAGGGGTCCTACAAGAACTGTGCCGAATGTATTTTGGTTCTTCACAGGGATTCAGATGATTTGCTTGTGAAAGGAAGCCAGGTTATCACTGGCAGAGGAAGAGAACCGCTACAATATCCCATTAAGGGGGAGCCGCCCTAACCCCCAGCCCTACTCCTCCTCCTCCTCCGCCTCCTCCTCCTACTCCTACTCCAACTTCTGCTGGCACAACTGCGTGCACTGGCACGTCTTGCGCTAAGCTCTGTCATTGCAGTGTTTCCTTCGACGTAAATTCGAGAGGTACAAGCCGTCGGGGTCTGAGAGCTGGGCAGGGGATGCATACTAAAACCCTAAACCCCAAACCCTAGACCCCAAACCCTAAACCCCCAACCCTAAACCCCCAACCCTAAACCCTAAACCCCAAACCCTAAACCCTAAACACCCGAATTACCCTAAACCCCAAACCCTAAACCCTAAACCCCAGAGCCCGCAGCCATAGGCCCTCGAACCTAGAGCCTAAACCCTCAGACCCTTGCCCTAAGGGTCCATGTACCCAAATAGTAGATACTTTGGCCTTAAAGTAGTCCCTATTTGGGTACTTTGGCGCCAAAGTATCTACTATTTGGGTACATGGACCCGTAGGGTTGCTAAACCTTCAAGCCCCGAAGCCCTAAACCCAAACCCCCAACCTAAATCCTGAGCCCCTACGTCCTCCAGGCGTAGGGTTTAGGGTTTAGGAACCCAAAGGCCCGGTTAAACCCTAGAAAGCCTTTTTCCCTAAGGGTCCATAAGCCCAGATAGCATAATTTGGTTTTACGTTTGTCCCTATTTAGGTGCTTATAAAGCATGTACTGTCTGGGTACATGGACACCTAAGGGCGAAAGCCTAAACCCTTATGGCACCCTACCAGAACCGGTATGATACCCTTCAGGAACCCTTTAAAGAACCCTTTTGGGGTACATGGACCCTTAAACCTTCTGGCAATCCGAAGCCCTGTGAGGTCAAGACCAAGTCAGTTGGTGCCCAGGACTTGGCTGCTCAAGCCTGTGCATGATGGCTCTAGAGTTTGAGGGTTTAGGGTTTCAGAGTTTCAGAGCTCAGGGGTTTAGGGTTTTAGGGTTTAGGGTTTCAGAGTGTTATAGATTGTTAGGGTTTCAGAGTGCTAGAGTTTTAGGGTTGTAAAGTGTTAGGGTTTAGGGTTTTGGGGTTTAGAGTTTTAGGGTTTTAGAGTTTCAGCCGTTTCGGGTTTAGGGGGTAGGGGGTAGGGGTTAGGGCGTAGCTGGGGTTTAGGATGCAGGATCCAGAGGGTTTAGGTGACTTGTCTCGTGGCTGGGGTTTTGTGGGAGAGACACTGGCTACCCATGGGCCCCTAAGTAGTTCCTTTTTGGGAGGATTACCTTGTAGGATTCTAACTACATGGTCCACTCTTCCGTGGGAGTGTTGCAAGAGTAATGGAGGTGCTTCGGGTTAGGGGCTTAGGGTTTAGGGGTTAGGGTTTGGGGTTTTGGGGTTTAGGGTTAGGGGTTTAGGGTTTAGGGCTGTGCCTCCTGCAGATATCTGAGCGCCCGTTCGATTTGGAGTTGGCTTGCTGCGCCTGTCACGTGTGATGCTCGGGCTGCGTGGGCCAAAACCTAGATGCGACTTCAGCCAAGCAGAAATCCTTAGCCCTAAACCCTAAAAAACCCTAAACCCTTAGAGAACCCGAAACCCTAAAACACCCTATACCCTAAACCCAAACTCTCAGATCCAGGCAGCGCAAATGCCCGAACAAGCACCCCCAAAAACAAATCCGAGAGAACCATTGGGCTGTCACGGTTTAGGGTTTAGGCTTTAGGGTTTAGGGTTTAGGGTCTAGGGTTTAGGTTTTGTTCCATGTCCTTTGATGTGCTTGGGTAGTTCTCTGATTCCGGGTCTCTTTTTGGGGGTCCTTTTCATAAGGGTGCCGTACAAAATAGGGGACCGAAAAAGGGACCCTAATTTAGAGAACTACCCATTTGGTTCTTGGTTCCTATCAGAAAAAATGCGACCCACAAGGACAAGGGTATATATATATATATACTTTTGCCAGCAAGTACCTGGACGACCTAGCATACGACTCCTATGCACCCTACACCCTAAACGTATGTGCACAGGCCCCTAAACCCTAAACCCTAAAACCCTAAACCCTAAACCCTAAACGTATGTGCACCCTAAACCCTAAAACCCTAAAACCCTAAACCCTAAGGACCTTAACCGCTGGTTAAGAGAGGACCTCGGAATTCCCGAGCAGAGTCTGCTGCCTGACGGAGAGCCAGCATGGAAGGGGCTAGCCTCTCGACAGTTTAGCGTTGAGGGTTCGGATTCGACAGGTTTGGGTTTAGGATTTAGAGGTGTTTAGGGTAACTTTGAAAGTTTGCTGTATTCCCATGGGGCTTCTAGGATTCTAGGACCCCACCGGTAAATCTCAGGGTCTGGATTGTGGCCTCTGATCTCCGACATGATACTCAAGATACGACATGTTGGAAAAAGTTGCAACCTTCCACACTCAACCCTGTGATTCTTTCTGGCGGGGCTCTGTTTGTGCGCACGATAGGATCTGAATGTGTCTCCCCACCTCTGGGTTAGGGTAAGGTTTGAAGGCTCATCTGCATCATCCAACCTGAAACATGAACCAAAACCATCAAGGTCCGTGTCCTTAGCATAGGGTTCCTTGCAAAACGCGAAGTCGGTCCGCAAAAGAGTTTGCCGCTGCATAGTGGTAGGGCTACGGGGCATGGCACGTTTCACTGACTCTTGCAATATCCAAAGGTATGGCGTACACTATAATAGTCACGGTAGTTTCAGGTGCTGCAGGTAGTTCAGGACCAACCTATTGCAGGATTTTGTCCATCAGCAGCGCATCTGCAACATTTCCTTAGACCTTAGATTTCTGAACCGAGGAAGTAGCTCCATGGCCCGTCCACCAACATAGTACTCTTGGCCTCAAATGGTTGCTATACTGTAAAGGTTTAGGGCTTAAACCGAGTTTAGGGTGTAGGGTTTAGAGGTTAGGGATTCGCGTTTAGGGTTCAGGGCTGAGGGTTCAGGGCCAGTTTAGGGTGTAGGTTGCTTTACCTGTAGTTTCAATTTGTTTGGTTTAACCAAACATATATCTCGGTTCCGATAAGGAAACCCCAAAAAAGAACTTCAACGCAGACTATACGCATGGTTGATGTATGTGCTAGATGGGCACACGGACCTTTAGGCTCAGTGCTTCTATCCACCTGTTTATCTGTTTGTAGGTCTGCGTATCTGTCTACATCTCTGCCTGTGTGTCTACCTATCTATCTATCTATCTATCTGTCTGTCTGTCTACCCATCTATCCTGTTCGTCCGTCTGTCTTGCTCACTCTCTCTCTCTCTCTCTCGTTCTGTCCTCGCGAAGCTATCTATCGCAGAAAAGTCTTGAGCCCTGAATTCCACAGCCAACGCCTCCCCATTTTCGTCTTCCAAACCGCCGAGACCTTGGCCACGATCATCCCACCCGGCTCCCGGGATCCGCCGCTGCAGTCAACACCTGGTGAGGCTGGCGGGGGACACTTGTGACTTGTGGAGCTGGCGGAGCTTTCTGTATCAAGAGAGTTTGGGGTTTACCCATAGGCTCCGTAGTAGTTGCAGAATTCTAATACCATAAAAAGGAACTACTTAGGGGCCTATGGGTAGAGTTTATGGTTTAGGGGGTCACAAAACGTGCCCTAATACCCTCAACCCTAAACCCTAAACCCAAAGCCTCGGAAACCCAAAACGTTTTTGAAGCCCCAATGAATCAATTAGAAAGCCTCCGCTTCTCGGACCTGCAGGGCACGCTGCGGTACCAGCGTGAGGCTCCCTGTTTAAATTTGCGGATTTAGAGTGGAGGGTTTAGGGTTGAGGGCTAAGGGTTTAGGGTTGAGGGTTGCGGGTTTAGCGTTGAGGGTTTAGGGTTTAGAGTTTACAATTCTGAGATTGGGGGTTTAGGGCTTTACGGTTACAGGTTGAGGGTTCAACTAAAAGATGCGGTTTGTTTCACGGCTTCGTGCATGAGAAGCCTAAACCTTGAATCCTCAACCTCCAAGATTGTCAGGACTAGCCGTTGCAGCTGCTGCATTGCTCAATGGGACACCAAATTAGAGCCTTACTCAAACGATGAAGGCCCGTATATGAATTTCGAACAAGATCTACAGCCCCAGAACACCCTGTGGGCAACTGGCGGAACTCTAGCACAAGCTTTGCAAGTTTACAAGACATGACTACTCAAAGAGCCAGTGCGATTTAACGGCATCCTTGGAGGTGTTCCACACGGGTTTGGTTAAGGGTTTTCCAGGATTATAGCGGCTAGTATGAGGTTCTTATCCCGGTTTGTATGCGGCTTCTTGTACAAGGTTCGATAGCAGTGAGGATGTAGGAGTTAAGCATTAGACTACGGTGGTGGAGCAGGTTACTGCACAGCGTCATTTATGCGGACCGAGCGCCCAGGAATATTGCTGCTCACCATTTTGTCCCTAATATATTACTTGAGGCCAAATCCGTAAACCCCAAACGTTCGACCTCCCTGCGACAGGCACTTCCTTGAAGTTCTGTAGACCCAGAGCTGCTGCTGGCGATGGCTACTTGCACTGGGCTTGCTGAACGACGCTCTTGGAAGAATTGCAACGCGTCTCGGCCGTAGATGAGACATCTCAGATCCCTGGCATGGACAAACAAGCTAATTCAAAATAGTTGTGCTATGCAAGCTAACAAATCCTGAGGGTCTACTGCCTAGTATGTTTGCCTCACCGCCATCGATGCTGGGCACTTACGGGCTCGACTGTGGGTAGTCTCATTAAATTCGATTCACGTTAAATGTCGCGCTTACAGAAAGACACGCGTGACATACTGATACGCGGTACCGCAAGTATGCAGTTGCCACAGATGGGCGGAATAGAATGATGGGGCTACATACACCATTCTACACAGGAAAGTACAAAGGTGTAGGCGCACAGGTGTATGACAGACCAGTAGCTGAAGTGCTGAGGAGACGAGGGTTCTGAGACGGCGACGTTACCAGCGAGAGATCAGCCCATGCGGAGACGGCGCTGGGAGCGAAGAAAGCTTGTCATGCTCGTTGCTTGAGAGTTAGACCCCTAAGCCCAAACCTTATTAAACCCATGACCTAAATTTTAAACCCTAAACCCTTAAACCCTAAAACCCTAAAACCCTAAACCCTAAACCCCTATTAAACCCATGAACATCCCTAAGCCTTATAAGCCCTAAACCCTCGAACAGTGGCCGCAAAGAGGCGACTTCAGAATACACTAGCTAAGCAGCTAAGCCCGAGGACAACATCATGGTTGCAAATCACCGGCTCAGGAGGGATGTCTAAGTTCATCCATCAAAGTGGTGGGTGTTTACAAGGAAGGAAGGCCTTAAACCCAGAAAGAACCTAGGGGGCCCTGGGATGGAAGGAAGAACTCGTCGTAGTATTCCCGTACAGCCCCTGGAAATCTTCTAGTACAATGTCCCTCAAACCCCTAGTCTAATCCTTGTGGCAATAGAAACTCTGGCCTTCAAAGAGATTGCTGAGACATGGCATTTCAGAGCCAAAGTTAATGCCGTAGGAGCCTTAATAAGTAGAACATTGGGTTTAGGGTTTAGGGCCTTAGGGGATTCCATGCATGTCCTCGTCAGACTACTCTGCTTTTTGTCAGATCCCAGACAGAACACCCTAAGGCCTGGACCTGGCTAACAATGTACGCGATGGTTCTAGATGACCCCAAAGCAGACAGTTTGAAAGGCCCTCTCCGAATCATTCTTCAGCCCACCAAGCCTCTACCAGCCCCTTCCAAACACCTAGCTCTAAGACCCCAGAACCCCAACCCTAAGCCCAATGCCCGTTCAGAGATGTTCTGGAACTCCTTTGTAGCACTCTCTTAATGGCCTAAGCCCCTGCAGTACACCACTGTAGTACCCGCGACCATGAAAGACACCCTGTTTGGGGTCTGGCGTCTATGGACGTAGGCTTTGCCAAGTAGGGGGACTTCAGGCAGACCGTTACTGCCCGAATTACGCCCTAAACCCTACACCCTACACCCTACACAGATCTACTGTCATGGCCAACTATGCAGGCGCAAATATCTATGCACCATAGACTCCCCTGAAGGCTAGCCTACGAGCACTACTAGACTATGCCCCAAAAACCCAAACCCCTACAGTACCCTTATACTGTAGATCCCGTATATGAGCCCTTGTAGACCACAAAGGAACCCTTATAGATCCCTTGTAGGAGCCCTTATAGATGCCTTATGGTACCCTTACCCAACATCGTCCAGAAGTCCAAACCCTGCTTTGCTTTAAAGCCGGTCGAGGCCAGAAGCACGGCTTCGCAGGCTGTTTGGGATGTTTCATAATTTGCGTGGGAGACCCCCTCAAAGCTATTCATCAGACGGATCCTGGTCTATGCTGGACTGGGTAGATTTATGGTATATAAAAGCCAAAAAAGACATTTGTAGAATACGGTATATCATACTTTAGTATACTATGGTAAATTAGGGTATCTGGCACTCCAGTTAGTGGATCGTGTCAGGTTCGCCCTCGAAGAGGGCCAAGGCCCACAAGAAGCACAACTAGTTTAGGCCATAAGAGATAAGTATTAAAATCTTAAAGGTTTATACCCTACACCCCATAGCCTAAATCCTAAACCATTATCGCTTTGGCCCAAAAACCAGCAACCTCAACGTCGTTTTCAAGAAAGCGAATGCCTCCACTCAATGTTCGACGTGCCTCAGATTCGCTGCTTGCGAAGATCCTTCTGCCCTACTGCCGGCAGGCTCTCTTTTCCGAGCTCGGTTTGGGGGCCTAAACAATCAGAAAACCCCCCCAAATTATTTGGGCCCCAATTTCGACCCCCCCCCCCACCCCCCCCCTGACCCCCAAAAAAAAATGCAGTTTGGGGGCGGGGGAACAGTTTCGACTTTTGAGGCAGATCCGGTGGGCTTTGCCTATAGTCTCCATTGTAGTTCCTTTTGGGGGTTACCTTTTAGGATCTTTAATATGGATTTGGTTAAACCCAAAAAAGGAACTACAATGGAGACTATAGTTGGGGTTAGAAGATTTTTTCACGGTTTGGGGCTTCAGCTTGCAACGTTCAGAAAGGTTGGATCCGTTGAGGCTTCGGGTTTAGGGTTTAAGAAGCTACCCTTTTAAGGACTTGCTATAACGAAGTCATAAATAAGGAACCCTAAAAAAAGAGGTTCTTTAGGGTTTAGGGTTTAGTGCGGTTTTGGGTTTTAGGGACTAGGTTACAGTAGCACAAGAAGCCTCAGACTGCCTCAACACACAAAACCCTCTGACACCCACCCTTCTATGAAGTATAACCTTCGTATGATTGTAAGCGTAGGATCGAGGAGATGTGGGGGTTTCCGAAAATAGGGGACCCTAATATAGTACCCTAAACAGTAGGCTCCTTATCTTAAGGACCCCAAAATAAGGTACCCCTTACTTTCGGAAACTCCCATGTGCTTACATCAATCGAGCCTTTCTCGGATCTCCCAGTACCTGAAGAGATCTCTCTTGTCAAGTCGAATGTCGTTCAATCCAATCGCTATACTAAACCCAAGCGCTGAACGCTAAACCTTAAACCCCAAACCTCAAACTCTAAACCCTACACCTTTAACCCTAAACCATCCTAAACCCTAAACCTCAAACTCTACGACCCCCCTAGAGCAGCTGGTTCAATCGCAAGGCCCCGTACCCTGGGGTTCCGCTGCTGCTTGAAAGGAAGGTTTTGCAGGAAGGTTTTGCAGGGTGTAGGGTCCAGGAGTTTAGGGTTTTGGGGATTAAGGATTTATGCAACCACCTTCACCTTTGACTTAAGTTCTTATCAACTTACTTATACCCACTTAGACCCTAAACCGCAAGCCCTAAAACCCTAAAGCCCAGAGCCCAACCCCCCGAAGTCTAACCCCTAAACTCCACGAGTGGCTTCTCCAGCAGCCAGGTAGCCAACCACCCGAAGAAGCTCATGACCTTCTATGCTACGGCTGTGCTTGTTGCGGACTGAGGAGTAGGGCTCTATACATGTTGAAAGGGTTACCTTAAGGTTGCTGTAATGGTTCTATAAGGGTAGTATAAGCGGGTTTAATGTCGAAGGGTCCATGTACGTACCGATCTGGTACATACTTAGGCCCCAAAGGGGATCCTATAAAGGAACCCCTGCAAGTTTAGGGCTTAAGATGGCCTAGGTATATACCGTCTACGTACATGAACCCTTCGCGTAAGTTTCAATCGTGAGATGTGGGGTTCGCTTGCGGTGGGCCGCCGGAGGCTTTGGGTAGGATGCTAAAGAAATTGATCCCGGTTCTATGCGTGCCGATACTAGTCTAGTAAGGATCGAGCAGGAGGTTTACGTCTACTTTGCCCAACCCAAAGACGAGCTCAGATGCAACCTTTCTTGGGGCAGATAGGCAAGCTGAAACAGCCCAAGCGCATTCGCAAGTCCCTTGCACAACTTCGATGTCATGGTTCCTGTACTAGTATGTACCACAGCATCTTACATAATACCATAAACATTATTCTTAGGGTTCATAGATAAAGCTGGCTGTAGATACGTGTACCCCTACCCTAAGGGTCCTAAGACTTTTGGGAAGCTCAAGATGTAGGGGTTCTGAGACCCCAAAGAGACCCAAGGACTCTCCCTAGGAGATTCCGGACCCTCGTTAGGAGACACCTGGACCCTTAGGGTAAATCCTACTCCAAATCCGCAAGGCTTACGTCAGACCCAAGCCGCCCTCGAAGGACGGAGCCTTCCCACTCGAATCGTTGCAGCTCAGGGCGTAGCGTTTGCAGTTTCGGGCTTGGGGTTTAGGGTTTAGGGTTTAGGGTTCATGAGCTCACCATCTAGCAGCACTGTAAACCTGCAAACCACCGAACCCCGTAAGCAGAAACACCCCAAACCTTAAGATAGTACTGGAACAACTTAAACTCACGAGCCACGCAAGCCTGAAAGCGCAAACCCTCAAACTCTCACTGCTCCCCATGAAACCCTAAACCCTAAAACCCAAAACCCATGAAACCCTAAACCCCAAACCCATGAAACCCAAAACCCATTAAACCCTAAACCCTAAACCCATTAAACCCTAAACCTATGAGCTCTCAGGTACCCTTGGCCATTTTCATCGTGCTGCGGGGCTTTGCCCTGGAGTCGGACTTTAGTGCGGGGACGCCTGACCTTAGGGACTTTAGGGTTTAGGGTTTCAGGGTCTAGGGTATAGGGTATAGGGTTTCAGGGTCTAGGGTTTAGGGTTATTAGGGTTGAGAGTGTAGACTTTAGTGCAGGGACGCCTGATTGGAGTGAGGACTCAGGGATGAGGCTTTCGAAGCCCTTAGGGCCTTAGGGTTTAGGGTATAGGGTAATTGTAGGGATCAGGGTTTAGGGTTTAGGGTATATAGGGTTTAGGGGTTATGGGGTTTAGGGTTTCAGGGTTTGGGATAATTATACGGTTTAGGGTTTAGGGCAATTATAGGGTTTAGGGTTTAGGGTTTCAGGGTACAGGGTATAGAGTTTAGGGTTTAGGGTATATAGGGTTTAGGGTTTTA